GCCAACGAGGAGTACCGGCGGATGACCCGCAACATCACTGGCCAGGTGAGTGTCCTGCCGCATCGCCTGCTGTCGGGATTCATTCCTCAAAAGCGTGGCCATTAGCGACCTGACAGGTAGCAAAGAGTCTCCTGGAGTAGGAGCAGTACGGAGGGAATGCGGGCAGGGGCTTGAGGAGTGCGCGCTGTAAATGCACAGGGACAACGGATACGGTGTTCAGAGCAGAGATGGGACAGGGTAACCAGAATGGCGAAACAGAAGAGAGACTGATGCTCAGGAGCAGCTCGCTGTGCCGAAGATCTCACTCAGCTTTTGATGTGGGAGGCTGAGCACCTGCGGTAAATGTTTTACCGGGAGCATCTGTGCTGCCTTTTTCTGAACGGTCACATTTTTATCGTAGTTTTAAAATGAGATCATTCATGTCAACGTAAAAGCTGAACAAACAGGGTAATATTTGGGCACTCATTCTTTCCAAGGAAGAAGTGAGATTTTTTGGGACGGTAACCGTTCGGACAAGCCAGCATCCCTTTCTGCTGATATTCCTCGTGATCCCATCCTGCCTGTCCCTCCTCCACACTGGTGTCCCTGTGTGTTTAAGCCCCTGCACGTATCCTCCTGTTGTGTTAGCTCCTGTGGGAAGATCCGCTCTGCTCTCTGCCAACCTTAGCCGCTGCTTCTGTGAACGGGAGTGGTTTTAGCAGAGCTGGGCAGTAGCGACAGCGATGTTCCTTTCAAACAGAGGAGCAGAGCCCTATTCCCATGTCCCTGCACTCATCACGTTCTTCCCCGCCTCCGTCCCAGTCTCTGGTGTTTGAAATTGTGTAACCACATCCGAGCTTTACTATATGTAGTTCTTGCCAGCTGCGTGAACGCAGGTGACGAGGTGAAACCCTTTAGTCTCTATTAAAGACAAACCTGCATCAGAGAACCCACGTGCAAGAAAACGCTCACACTCGGAGAGGTGCTTTGATTAGAAATGATCCTTTCTCAGCCCCCTTGAATCGGACCACAAACATGAGCCCAGAGAAACCTGGGCCCCGTGGAGCTGCTGCTCCCCTGCAGCCTGCCCCGCCGCTGCCAGGGCCCCCCGGCACCCCTCTGGACTTTGGAGTCTTAGGGACAGGACGGGGCATTGGCGTCGCTTTTATTACGCAGTTAACTTTAAAGTACAACCGATCACAAGTTGTTTTAATCCCTTCTTTTAGGAGATGAATGGGAAATTGGCGGAATTTGGGAGGCAAGGTGAGTGGCTGCCTGTCCTGCTGCTGCCTGGCAGCGCGTGCCTACGGGTCAGTCACCGGAACGGTTGCATCGCTAGCTGCTGACATCAGACAGCCCTTCCCTCACCACGTAGCTCACCGGAAGGGTTGAATGCACAAAAGCGTTCCTCGAGTACAGGAGCAGCCTGCTGGTTGTTCTTATACATGTTCCGGAGGCATAAAGCGCGTGAACCCTCGAGTGTTCCCGTAGCCCAGCTGAGACGCTGCAGGCAGGCTCCATGAGCAGGATTACAGCTCGTCCCCAGCCCTACCCCCCGAGCCTGACCTAAAAGCACCATTGTCTTTCCCCCTTCTCTCCAGTTCGCTCTGTTAAAGCCGTTGTCATCACCATATTTAACTTCTTCGTCACCGTGGCGGCCGCCTTCGCCTGCACCTACCTGGGCAGCCAGTACACGGCCTCGGAGCCCGCTCATGGCCCACTCGGTGCCGGCCAGGCCGGAGCAGCAGACGCGCTCCCCAGCGCGGGCAGCAGCTCGAGGCACGCGCGGGGTCACTTCTCTCTCTTTTTCTGTTCCCAGCGCGTCCTGTTGGCGGTAATCGTGGCCTCGGTGGTTGGCTTGGCTGAGCTGTATGTAATGGTGCGGACCCTCGAAGGGGACCTTGGGAAACTGTAATCGCACGCATCCCTGGAACCGTGGCCCTTGCGCTGGAGGCTTTTGCCCTCCCCAGGAGTCATTAATTTGGGGCAGGTTTATCTCCTACCACCTGTCTGTACCTGCTCCTGCTACTGGGATCACTGCTGCATTCCTCAGGCCTCGTTCTTTGCTTCCTGCTCCTTAACGTTCCTGAAATTCCATGGATTAAAAATCCCGCAGCTGCAGGACAGAAGAGGGAACAGCTCTGGACTCTCACATCCCAGCACAGAGAGAGGTGGCAGCTCCCGCCTGTTCCCGTTCTCCCGTGAAGTTGCTGTCCTGTTATTCTGGAAATAAATAACATTGCGTGTTTGTAACCTTCTTCCTGCCTGACGGGAGATGCCTGTTACTATGCGGAGCACCAACCTGACGTCTAAAAGACACCAGAGAGAGCCGTGAATCCTCCCTCTCCCTCTGCATCCCGCATCCCACTCCTGCGGACGCCTCCCTTTGCCTGCCTGGCTGCTCCTGCCGGCTCCCTCGCCTGCTCTCTGGAGAGTGTTACTGCCCCAGCACCCGACCCAGCTCGTGTTTGGGGGCAAGCGCTTTCCTTCTCCACGCAGATCAGTTCAGGAGGATGATGGTGTCCGGCACAGCCACGCTGGGGTTGGTGCCCGGCACAACTTTTCTCTGCAGCAGCTCGGCATCCTCACGCAGGGGCTGCCGCATCTCCTGACCCGCAGCCAGGTGCCTGGGGAGGAGCATGAGCCGTAGCTCGCGGCAGCAGATGGGGCAGTGAGGGGCGTGTGGCGCTCTGCCCCCCCTGCCAAAGCTGCCCAGCTCCTGTGGGGCGGGAGGGGATGCACCCCAACACGCAGCCTCCCAGGTGCCACAGAGCAGAGACTGGAGCCGGCTCAGTGGCCCCATGGTGGGGAGGGGGTGCCAGGGCCGGCACCACTGGGCCCTGCGGACCCGGACACCTGCTGGGTGGGCAGCCGGCCAGGGCTGGACACGGTGATTAATGCTCTGATGGCAGCTAAGCCCCTCTGCAAACACGCTTTAATATCCGATACGGGGAGATCTACCGGCACCTGCGAACGTGCCTGCGGATTAGGGGCGGCCGCACCACAATCATCCACGGATACGGCCCCAGATTAAGGTATTTTTTCCAAAAGATTAGTCGGTATTAGGGGGCTGATGGGGAGCTGGCCCCCCCCCGGCCGCACCAGCATTTAGGATATTGGATGACATCTTTGGGACCGGCAGTAATTCCACACCCTAATGAAATTGTGGTGCTAAGCCAGGGGGGGCTCATTGCTGGGGGGGGGTCCCTGGTGCCAGGGGATCCCTGCCACGGCTACGGCCCCCCCCGGGTGGGGGGGGGC